TGGCTGATCCCAAACGGATGCTGTATCATCAGTTATTTAAGAAGATAAATAAATAAAAGGAAGTCTAAGAAACTTCTTTATGGTGTTTTCAAGGTCGATTTGGAGAAAACAACCAAGGTCATTAAATATTGGGAAATCTTAAGAAATGATACATTTTCTTTTTATTGAAATAACACATTCTCAATGCAAATAATTAGAAGGTAAGGGCTAAAAAAGGAGGTTGTAAATAGAGTAATGCTCCCTGCCTGCAACCTACAATGTCTGTTTAGAAAGTGGCCTTATTAGTATTTAAAAATAATGTACTAAGAAGAATATATTCTCCAGGCATGAATAGCCTAGATGAGTTAATCTATAAGATATAAATTCTAACTAGAATGAAACAGGCAGATAGGAATTTCTAACAAATGATGGAATCCTATGTATTACTGGATTTTAGTAAGTAACACATTTATCATTCTGAGCTATAGCAATCCTATCATAGGAAGGCCGGGTGTGAACATATATGGACAAATTCTATTTTATAAGTCTATTTGAAAAATTAGTATCTTAATTAAGATAGAACATTTAAAGCAGGGTTAGGATTTTATTACTAAGAGGAGTTTCCAATGAGAGTGGTGATTCCCAACCCATAAAACTGGCTAGAAATGCAGGTTCAGACTTTAATCAACAAGTAACTTCAAAGACAACTACACTACTTGCTAAATACGAAGTGATAGTCTTAACTCTCAGAACTCCTAGAATCCATTTCTTCCTGCAGTTGGTTCCATACATTGTATTTACTATTCTATAAAAATCTGTTTGTCTTAGAAGGATGATTAATGCCACTTGAAAATGTTACAGCCATTTTAAAATATAGGTTATTTTCTAAATCAGATTAGCACAACCCTTACTATAAAGCAAAACATTACACAATATTTTTTATATTTGAGCTTTCTCGGTGGACTCCAAGTGAATGAACTTTAAAACTACCTCCAGGCAAACAATGTTCAGGCTGCCAGTGAAGTCATTACTTCATTCAGCAACCACTCTTACGCTGCCTTAGACACAGGAATCCCTTTTATTTAAAAGAATAATGAATGTTTCTTGGGATCTGAGGTTACTTTCCCAGGGTCAGGAAAAGTCCACATGAATAATAAAAATACTGTAGTTCCAAATTCTGAGAATATAAAACTGCTTATACCAATGAATCTGGGCTCTAGAGACCAAATAGCTGACATTCCCAATATCAATCTCATAGCAGAGTGATGTGCTTAGACTTCCTGGAGAGGGGACAGAAGGTGGTACAATTGCCATAAGGAAAGAAACACAAATGTTATTCAAGTTCACATGAGACAGAGAACTGATGGCTGGGCCCTTGCTGTCATTAGTGGTAGTGCTAGACATTTTGGTAAGGAATAAACAGGTCAGCAAAATCACTAAAATGAGGGAATATTTCAAACTCAAAACATTTGATAGAGACGGGGGTTACTACATGTAACTCATTTTGTCATTGAAAAAGAAATTCAAATATTAACAACAGTACCTTTACTACTCTAAAAAAAGAAATTGCTAAGAACACAAATGGAGGCCAGGTGTGGTGGCTCACATCTGTAATCCTAGCACTCTCAGGAGGCCGAGGTGGGAGTAGTGCTTAAGCTCAGGGGTTCGAGATCAGCCTGAGCAAGAGCAAAACCCCTGTCTCTGTTAAAAAAAAAAAAAATGAACTGGGTGTGGTGGTGGGCACCTGTAGTCCCAGCTACTTGGGAGGCTGAGGCAAGAGGATCGCTTGAGCTCAGGAGTTTGAGGTTGCTGTGAGCCTGGGTGATGCCACAGCAATTTAGCCTGGGCAACAGAATGAGATTCTGTCTAAAAAAAAAAAAAATACAAATGGAGATACCACTGAGAAAAAAAGGTATGTGGGAAATAAGTGCTCATTACAGAAATTCCTCCCGTGTCCAGCTTTCTTAGATTGACCATCTCTCCTCTTTACTGTTACTATTTACACTATTATTTCTATTTGTACGGTACTAGTGTTCTGACTCTTTCTACCAATACTTGCTGGGTGCTTGTACATGCTAAGCAGTATAGTTGGTGCTGAGCAGAGTGGTAACCAAAACAGATCTGGTTACTCCTTTATGGAACAATGATTCACGGACCAACGACACACAACATTCATAGATTCAGCTGTTCACGGAACAATCGATCACACCAATAACTATATAATCACAACTATGCTAAATGATAGGGAAGAAAAGTCTTGAGGGGCTTTCCAGCCCATGGGTGTCTGGAGGTCTCTCCTGAAGAAAGAGCAGTCATGGTGAGGCTTGAAGGATAAGCAGGAAGGAAGCCAGGGACAGGAGTGGGGGGTGTTTCAGGAAGAGGGAAGAATGTGTTCTAAGGGTGCAGAGCAGGGGGGAACATGGTGCAGAGGAGGGGAGGGTAGGAACAAAGAAGCTCGAGAGATCGGCAGGAGCTGATCAGAGCCTCGAAGGACAAGCTAAATGTTTTGAACTTTATCATAACAGCAAAGGGTGTGAAGCAAGGAAGGGATATGTTGACATATATTTATGTTTGATCTGTTGCTTTGGCTGCTATTGGATGCCAAGAATGGCCTGGGGGAGACCAGGAAGCTGTGGGAAGACAGGGTGGGAGGCTCTCAGAGTCTGCAGTCCAGGGAAAAGTGGGCAGGCCCTGCTTTGAGTAGCAGTGAGTGGGGAGGGGGTGATGGTTCAAGGCAGGTCTTAGAAGGAGAAATCTGAGAACTCGCTGACTGGGTAGATGTCTGGTTCAGAGAACTGAAGGAAAAGGAGATGTCAAAAGTGCTTTCCCAGTTGTGTAGAAGGAGGTGCCACCTATAAGGGGGTGGAGGGAGGAAGAGCAGATCTGTAGTCCTGAAGATGAGTCCAGTTTGTTTAAGATGTCTTAGAGAACTCCAAATGCTAAGTAGGAAGTTGGGGAATCAGGTCTGAAGCTCAGAAGACAGGTCCAGAGAAATACATTTGAGGACCCTGGTAGTAGGTAGTAGAAGCCACAGTGGATGGGTTTGGACAAGAGACTTATGGATCAAGGACCAAACACTGAAGCTCATCCATATTTAGCCCTCCTATGAGAGCTCTAAATTTTGTTCAGAAACATTCCATGTCAAAGAAGGTATTATACCTTACTATCATAGTGTATTCTAATCTTATATTCTAATAAGAATGCACAGACACTAAGTTTAAAATGACTGCCTGTAACCCAGACCAATATCATTCAGGAGAGATGTGAGCGACAGTGGGGTCCCCATCACCAACATGAGGCACGCAACCAGAGGAACAAGACCTGCTTTCTGCTGAAAAAATTACACAGTCTTTTGGAGAAAGACTGCTGCTATGTAGTGTTAAGACTGCTGTTTTGCACTTCCTATTATAACTAATGGATCGACCGAGGGATTTGACAAAGTTGGGACAATCAACTCCATTGAAAGTTCTAAACCTATGGAGGATACGTACAAGCAGCCCAAGACCTTGCTCCTGTGGTTGTGGAAGAGACCCAGGGAGCCAGATGAGCCCTCTCTTTAGAGATACAGACACCCCCCCAAACCCTAAATTCCTTGGCAGTTTTTGCTTCACATCCCTTTTCAGCCTCATGTCCCACGACTGCCCTGCACTCCCCTCTGCTCCAGGCCAACAGACCTTGGCATTCTCACTCCACAACCTGCAGTGTACTTGCCCACACCCCTGCACTGCACCGCTCTTTCAAAGTCTTCCTCTTGTAGGTGAAAACAGTTTCTCCCTTTTCAAAATTTACATAACCGAGTATTCATACTTCTCTCAGCACTTCACACTTTCTATCCTGTGCTATAGTTATCTGGACACACATCATACATCCTCTTCTGGGCTATAAGCTCCGGAAGAGTGACGGGGATGTCACCTTAGTTTATATTCCAGATCACACCTAACATTGGAGCCTGTACTATAAAAGAGGAGTGCTCTTCCTGAGATGACTGTGAGGATGATGGCTTGGCGGTATCAGAAGGCAGCAGGCAAACACTTACTTATTTCTTTTTGTTCCTACCATACTAGCCAACGGCTCACAGGAACACAGATTGAGTTGTCAGCTCTGTGGAATGCCTGGTATTTATGGCAAACCCAGACTCCTGAATTAACTGAATAAAACGGTAAGAGGCCATGCAATAGTTTCTTTCTCATGAAAGATAGGAGTCCCAAAAGAAATAAAATGGTAAAATACACTGTTAATCTTTTTCACGGCCTTGGCTAACACCACCCTGCTGTAAGCTGAGGACTGAAGGTGACTGCCTTGCTCTAAGCTGGACAACCAGTGTAGCTTGTTTGCTGCCTACAGAGTTTAATCACCAGCTCCCCAGAATTATGCCATCCCCCCTCCTTCGCGGGGTGCTTGCTCTGTTCTCTGCTGCCTTAAATCTAACAGGCTTCAGGATGTTTAGCAGCTAGCCCATGGTTATGTGTTCCTTAAAAAGTTGAGGGAGCTTGCTGGTGCCAGGTTATCTTACAGAGATGTAGCACATTTTAAAACTGCATAGTACATGTAAAATCCAAGTCAAATGTTTTACCATAAAAGAAAATTCCAACACAGAAGCATGAGTATAATGGTGGCTGCCAGGGCTAGGAGGGTGAAAGAGTTGGGGAGATTTTGATCAAGGATACAAAGTTTCAATTATACAGCATGCGTTAGTTCTGGAGAGGTAAAGGACAGCAATGTGACTACAGTTAACAATATTGTACTGTATACTTGAAATCTGCTTAGGGAAGGGGATGTCATGTGGAGTAGCTTGATCAGGGCAGTCATTTCACAGTGTACGTATGAGCAAAACATCCTGCTGTGTACTTTACACACAGCTTTTATTTGTCAATTAAACCTTAGTACATCTGGAAAAAATAAAAATAAGTAAAATCTAGTAAGGAAAGAAAATTCTAAATGTATCTAAGCCAGTTACTCATATTTTGAGCTTGAACAGTAGTAAAAGGACAACGGCGCTCCTTGCCATGGGCTGGGCTTACCTCTTTGGTAACAGGAGGAAGCAGCAATGCCAACTCACAATACTTGAAAGCATTCTGCTTTTCGTCAAGATCGATATAACACTGGAAACGAAAAATAACCCACATGAAAGGTAATCACAGTTTTATGTAGTGGATTCACTGTGATCTTAAAAGAGTCGTTTTCATTACCTTTGCCAAGAACAGGTAGTTGGCATTGGAATAACCAGGGTGTAGGTCTTCAGCCTGATGTAAGAGACAGGAGAACAACAGGACAATATTAAAACAGTAACACTAACTACAGGGGAAGAGAGCGTAATTCAATAAATCAGATACTATCAACCAAACGTCCCTGAGAGTTTAGGTTGGCTATTTCACATTGGAATCATTTTATCCATTTCAGTATCTTCTGGGTAGAGACATGGCTTTTGCATTTATTTATCCATTAAAATAAAATAATTATCCACATAAAGCATACAAAGCAATGAGATACTTCAAGGTTTCTTTAACATAATCATTTTGCTCACTTCTCTAACTTTTCTGTTTTTTCCTTTCAAGAACAAAAGCAGCTGGTGATACCCTGTCCCCCAGACAAGTCCCATCCATTTCACAGTCTGTTTAGAAAATGGGGGTACAGGGTGGCACCTGTGGCTTAAAGGAGTAGGGCACCAGCCCCATATGCTGGAGTTGGTGGGTACAAACCCAGCCCTGGCCAAAAAAAAAAACTGCAAAAAAAAAAAAAGAAAATGGGAGTACGGCATGACAGGTACCCCATGGAGAGCGTCTCCAACTAGATTAATATTTAGTTCTTCTGATTTGAACACATTCAGTGGGAGTAAAATAATATCTGAAGTCCTTCACGTGCTTTTAAAGGAAAGACAGATCCTTGAGACAACTGGCCCAAGCAGATATAAATGGGTATGACGAAGGTACATTTCTCTTCAAATACTAATATTTTGTGAACCAGTTTTATCTCTAGGAAGTGAGAATTCTTTCATGTAGATGGTATTGCTACTAGGCAGCTCATCTTAGAACTTAAGTCAACCTTTGCTTCAAAGCCAGCTTTTGCTGTTGTGAAGGTCTAGGCCGGTAACTACCCCACTTCACCACCCAGAGGGATGCAGAAGCCAAGAGAAAAGAGACACTTTTAAAAATTTATAAAAATGTGCTGGCTTTACAAAAGACAAACAATATAGACATTTCCAAAATTAAAAGGTAAAAGTTTCACCAAAATTAAAAGGTAAAAGTTTCACCTTTCTAATTTTATTTTCAATTTCCATCTTGTTCCCCAAGGTAACCACTATCAAAAGTTTGACATGCCTCCTACCAGAATTTTTGCCAAGTATAGATAAAAAAATAAATGTTTTTGTTAAAAAAAATTAAAATGGGACATATTAGTCCAATCTTTTTTTTAACAAAGTATCACAAACACAAATTCCTATTAGCAGACATACATCGATCTCATCGCTCCTAAGAGTTTCACTTCATATTAGACACACACCATAGTTAAATTAAATAGTCCCCACTGTTGATTTTGATTTATTCTCAATTTTTACTCTTACTAATAACGATCAGTGAATATACTTGCTCCTATATATGCTTGGGTACATGTGCACTTTTGTGTGTAGAAAAGATTCCTAGAGGTTGAATTGCTGAGTCAAAGGATTTAGATTTTTAAAGATAGATAGTAATGAAGGGGAATCCAAGTTAGGGTTCTGAGGACTGTTCTAACATCTGAGAGAGAACATCCTTGGTACGAGACATTTTATTCTGTACAAAAACACCAGGTAAGGTTCCAGGAAGAGGAAGACAAAATGTCCTGGGGGAGTGGGGGACAGGCTTGGTGGGACTCTTTAAGACCAAGTAGGTGAACAGTGCCTGGACCTGGATTGGAACCTGTTAGAAAGACAGTAAAGCCATAAACAGTACGAGGAGGTTGTCCCATTCAGTCCTGGCCAGAGCCCTGAACATCCCTGTAGAGGCATCCATGGTGCTGATGGATTCTGATTCTTCTGTTTCTTTTCTCTTCTCTAATCATTTCCATTTCTACACTTCCTGTTTGTTAAGTGCATCAAGTTAAAATTCTGTGAGTTTATATTGGGGTCTTATTAGGTGTTAGACACACACTAAGCAATTTACTTGTATTACCATATATACTCCTTATAATACCTCTACGAGTAGGTACTGTCTTCTCTATGTTATTTATTAAATTTACCTTTTTTTTTTTTGAGACAGGGTCTTGCTATGTTGCCCAGTCTGCCTCAAACTCCCGGTTTTAAATGATCCTCCCCTTTCAGCCTACTGAGCAGCCGGGACAATCAGTATTAGCCATCTTGTCCAGCCCATTTACCACTTTTGATTTCATTTGTGTTTTATTTCAGGTACTTTTATAGTATTCTGAAAACCTATTCTCCAGTTATAACTTTGCCATTATGATGAAGTAAGTTTCAAGTTCAAATAACATTTTTTTCTAATTCACTTGATACTTTTTATAGAGATATTTTGCCTTAAAGATACCATGATCCATATTTTTATAAAATTTAAAATGAGAGCATTTTAAAATGAGCATTTAAAATGCCCAGTGGTAGAAAAAAGACAAAGAAATTGGGGTGATGCAGTCTTCGACTTCACTCACATCTTAAATCAAAGCTTTGATTGCCATTGTGTTAAACTAAACAAATTAAGTTCCTGAGATCTTAGTTTCCTTTTTATACAACAAAAAGGTCATATTAAACAAAAAATGTATGGCCCTTGTGTTTTTATTTCCTGTCCTTTTTTTCTGTAGGGCTTGTGCCTGATTTCAGAGCACTTAATTTTTTATACAGCTCTCTAGGCAGCCACTGGTCATGGGTCAGGGATGGAAACTGAAAGGAAATTTATTCTCCATTTTTGACCTTTTGATTTCTAAATCCCCTCTCAGTTCTACCAAATCCATTCCTGAAAGACAACACAATATAATACAAGCATGCACAAGATATCGGACAATACAGCTCAGAGCCTGATTTTCTCTGTCTTTTTGGAAACCTGATGTAAGTAGGCTGAAAAGGAAAACACATTTAGTAATGGTAAGATTTTGTAATTGGTTCCAGAGAAAGGTGAAAGGGTTAGCCCAACAGGACGTAAGGGTGGATATATGATATATTATGAATTTACATGTGGCCTACATACTTACTACTACTCAAAGTTGAATTAGTAAAGCAATTATATGTTTTAAGACAGGAATGAAAATGCTGATTTGCTCTCATGCCCTCAAAATTTTCCACAGAAGTGCCTGTAACTTGGGAGGTGGCTTTTAAGGTAACTCTTCCTCTTGGCATCTTTTACTCAGTTAAGATTAAACGAGCTCTCTGTTAGGCTAATCAGGAGTAACTGGAGCAAGTCTAACAATCAGAGCACAACTGTTTCTGCACATGCTCACGTGACTCGGAAAACTACTCCTGGATTTGTTAGCAAGGCTGCTACATCGAAACTTTCATCTAGGCTGCTGAGTTGTTTTTTAAAAGCAGATGACTATTCCTAGGACAAAGGGTATAGCTAGCTACTCTAGGAAAGTTTACATTTAAAACATAACTTGTGGCCTGGTGTGGTAGCTCACCCCTGTAATCCTAGTACTCTGGGAGGCAAGGTGAGAGGATCATTCGAGGTCATTTCGAAACCAGTGTGAGCAAGAGCAAGAGCAAAAGCAAGCCTCCATTTCTACAAAAACCAGAAAAATTAGCCAGGTATGGTGGTGGGCACCTGTGGGCCCAGCTACTTGGAAGGCTATGGCGAGAAGATAGCTTGAGCCCAGGAGTTTGAGGTTTCAGTGAGCTATTAATATGATGATGATGATACCCTGCACTCTAGCTGCAACAGAGCAGCAGAGTGCGACTCAGTTTCCAAAACAAACAATTTGAATTATAAGAGACTTAAAATAGAACATGCCAAAAGTAGGATTACAAACGGGTTTCTCATGGGGAAAAGTTTTCTGGATAACAAGGGTACCAGGGACAGGTCCAGGTGGTAGTTTGCTGAACACTAAAATAACAAATAGACAAAACATACCTTAAGGAAATTTTTCAAAGCCTCTTGTACAGTTGAAGATGGTATTTTCCCAAATAGAGTAGCAGCCATTTTTTTCTCAATCCAGCTTAGTTTTGACACCTGCAAAAATAGAGTAACATCATTCTTAGGAAGTTGTTCCCTTTTGAATGGATAATTTCTCCCCAGTTAGTGCGTATATGTATATATATATGTGTGTGCATACAAATCTAACATATACAAATATAAATATATATCCATAAATAATATATGTGAGGTATCACTCTTATGATACTAATATTAATATTTGTCTTTCTTTTCATAATTCTAAGAGATCATGAGTTCCAGAAGTACTGGTTCCAAAACCAATTTGAAATACTCTTGCTAAAATTTGTATCCAATCAAAGAGAAAGGAGTGGTGGGGAATAATGCTGATTCTATCTGTTCCTATGATTTGAGGTTCTAAAATGACTGCAGAGTATTTCTTTCAATGGCGTAGAATACTTACAGGACCCTATCTTCATTCTCTTCCTCCCTGCCCCATGCTGCCAATCAACCTCCTGACACAGAAGCAGCACCTCAGAAATGTAAATAGAATAAGGATCTTCAACCCAGAGGGAGTGTGAGGAGGGCCCGGTATCCATATTTACAATCCAGAAGATTGTTTTACCAATAATCATTAAAACTAAATTTCATATTATCACTTCTTTTTTGCTTACTTTTAAAATGTTTTCATTTTTTTTCTCGAAATATATTAGATGCTTATTCTAAAAGATTAGACTGGTTCGTAAATGAATACTTAATAGTTAATGATGTAGTTAATGTTCTTCCCAACCCCATGAAGCATTTTCTTTCTCAGATCCATGTTATGGATTTCTAGGTAGCCATCTATTTTTTTTAAAAATGGTTTCTTTATTTTTCTACATACTTTAACTTATTGGTATACTTATTTCTTGCTTTGTTTTGAATTTTATAAAATTATATCATATTATTTACTTCCTTGTATGACTTTCGTTTTGTTTTCTACTTTACATATGGTTTTAAGAGTTCATCCAGGATGACTATAACTGAAGTTCAGTCATTTAAATAACTGAAATATCCCATCAAAAAAAAAATTTTCATTCATGCCCCCATACCCAGTCCATTTTATTTTATTAATAGTAAACATTCTGCATATGTTTAAAGATATATATTCTTCAAAGACTGGGTACATGTTTTCATATTTGTTTATTAGATCAAGCTTATTTAAATGTGAGGTTCCAATGTTTTCCATGCTTACTAATACTTTTTTGGTCTCCTGTTTTATTAATTACCAAAGAGGTAAGTGAAAATCTACCAGTATGTGGTGGATTTGTACATTTATTGTTTTATTTTGGTCACTTTTAAAAATAGTTTTGATGCTGTCATTAGTTTATATACTCCTAGAGAATCAAATATTTTATTATTATATAGTTGCCTTTTTAATCTCTAAGATACCTTTGACTTAAAATTGACATATATTCCATGTAGGCCCCTCTTCTCCATGGAATATATGTTCCAAGAACCTCAGCAGATGCCTAAAACCACAGACTAAGACCAAAGCCAACAAGGTAGGACAATTAAGTTTGTAAACTCATCCTAGAAAAAGTGCTACATACCTCACTGTTGAATATCGTTATATTTTGGAACTCTTTTTCTGGAATGGCCACCAGAGCTGCCATCATATGAAGGTCTGACAAGTTCATAAACTCATCCTAGAAAAAATGCTTTGGAGGGTGGACGAGATGCTTGCATTGGTGCATAGCTTCCCAAGGGGAGCACTTTGAAGGTGATTGCAATGATATTCAGCAATGAGGTATGCAGCACTTTTTCTAGGATGAGTTTGTGAACTTAATTGTCCGACCTTGCATATATATTATGTTTTTTTCAGTCTAATAACCTAGATGGCTATGATGTGCACTTCATGGATATGCTAGACAAAGGGATGATACACATCCTAGGAGGAATAGAGCAGCATGATGTGATCTTTTTATCATACTACTCAGAATGGTGCACAATTTAAAACTTATAAACTGCATGCTTCTGGAATTTTCTATTTAATATTTTTGTACCATTGTTGACCATGGATAATTGAAAGTGCAGAAAGTAAAACCGTGGATAAGGGGAGAACTACTGTGTGTGTATGTATCAATTTTATTTTGGTTACTACTTTTTTGTTTACTATTTTTTGATATAATTTTTACATATGCTTACTTCATATATTTCTTGGTCATTATGTATTCTTAAAATCAGTTTTACTGAAGTATAATCTATGTAAAATAAAATTCCATCCATTAGAGGTATATAGTTCAATGAGTTTTGATAAATGCATACAATTCTGTCATCACCACAACAATCAACACATAGTCCGTTTTCATCAGCCTAAAAAGTTCTCTCATGCCTGTTTGCCATCATTCTCCTTATCCAACACTGATGAAAGAAATCCTAGATAACACAAACAGATGGAAAAACATCTCATCCTCATGAACTGGAAGAATCCATATTGTTAAAATGACCACTTTGCTCAAAGCAATCTAATCAATATAATTCCTATAAAAACACCAACATCATTTTTCATAAAATTACAAAAAGCAATCCTAAAATTCATATGGAACTGAAAAAGAACCCTAATAGCCAAAGCAACCCTAGGCAAAAAGAACACAACTGGAGGCATCACATAACCTTAAAGTTATACTCTAAGGCAACAGTAACCAAAATAGCATGCTATAAAAAGACACACAGATTAATAACAGAATAGAGAACCTAGAAATAAAGCCATTTACCAATAACTGATTGATCTTTTACAAAGTAGACAAAACATACACTGGGGAAAGGACCCCTATTCTCTAAATAGTGCTAGAAAAATTGGACAATCATATGCAGAAGAATAACACTGCACCTCTAGCTCTCACCATATACAAAAATTAACTCAAAGTGAGTTAAAGACTTAGATGTAAGACTTGAAATCATAAAAGTTTATAAGAAAATATAGAAAAAATCTTTTGGACATAGGCCTAGCTAAGAATGGCTAAGACCATAAAAGCAAATGCAATAAAAACAAAATAAATAATCAATAAAGTAAATAGCTTATAGAGTAGGAGAAAATATTTGCAAGCTAGGTATCTGACGAAGTACTAATACCTAGAATATACAAGGAACTCAAACAATTCAGCAAGAAAAAAAAACAAATAACGCCATGTGAAAGTGGACAAACAACATGAATAGACATTTTGCAAAAGAAGATATACAAATGGCCTACAAACATAAAGAAAATGCTCACTATTACTAATCATCAGAGAAATGCAACTTAAAATCACAATGAGATACCATCTTACTCCAGTCAGAATGGCCATGATTAAGAAGTCAAAAAACACTAGATGTTGGCATAGATGTGGTAAAAAGGGAATGCTTATACTCTGTTGGGTGGAATATAAATTAGTACAACTTCAACAGAGATCAGCATGGAGATTTCTAGAAGAACCAAAAGTCAATCTACCATTTGATCCAGCAATCCCAGTACTGGGTATCTACTCAAAGGCAAAGAAGTCATTATATCAAAATGACAACTGCATGCTCATGTTAATGGCACCACAATTCACAGAGATATGGAAGCAACCAATGAGTGAATAAAGAAAATGTGGTACATATACAGAGGGTGCCAAAAAAATTCATGCACATTATAAGAATGGAGAAAACTGTATTAAATTTGTAATATTCAAATCACAATTGATTTCTGCAATTCTAAGAAGCATTCAATGTGATTTGTATTCATCTTTTATTATTGGTATATTCTGAGTATTACAAGTTTAGTACAGTTTTTCCCTTTCTTTAAATGTATATCTTTTTTTGGTAACCTCAGTATATAAACATACACACCATGGAATACTGCTCATTCATAAAAAAGAATAAAATAGTGTCTTTTTTTTTTTTTTTGCAGAGACATGGTAGGGTGCTATGGCGTCACACAGCTCACAGCAACCTCCAACTCCTGGGCTTAGGTGATTCTCTTGCCTCAGCCTCCCAAGTAGCTGGGACTACAGGTGCCCTCCATAATGCCCAGCTATTTTTTGTTGCAGTTTGGCTGGGGTCGGGCTTGAACCCGTCACCTTTGGTATATAGGACAGGCACACTACTCACTGAACCATAGGCCCCCCACCCCAATAATGTCTTTTTTTAAACATAGCACATTTCAATATAAAAACAAATGTTCAATATCTTATACATAGCATTTTCTTCAGAAAGTCTAGAGCAGCAATTCTCAACCTGTGGGTCGCGACCCCTTTGGACTGTATTAAAGGTTCCTGGCATAAGGAAGGTTGAGAACCCTGGTCTAGAGCAACGGCTCACTCATTTCCATAATGCTCATAACAATTCAACTTTATGATTGAAAACTGCTAAGCTTTCAGATGAAGTGGATTTCCTCTTGATTACAGAATTCAAGATTTCTCAGCTGTTAATACAGAATCAAAATCAGTAGAAAAAACTTTGTAAATTGCTTGTGCCTGTTCCAGGCTATTGCACTGATAAACCCACAGGCTGTATTCATCATTGCTTGTATCTGTGGTCTTCAGAGCCTGCAAGCTTTTTCCTGCCTGCAGACCATCATCATAACACATCCTGATGATTAAATATAGAGCATGCTTGTGCAAGACATCATACTGATCTGATGTTGATACTTTTGTACCATACTTGGAAACTCTCATAATAAATTCTTCCTCCAGAAGAACAAAAGGTAATTTTCCATCTTGCTGGGCAACATCTATGTAATTTATCAGGTCCAGTGGCCCTTCCAAACCTTTTCCCTCAGACATTTTCAGCTTCTCAATGGCACCCACATATTTTATTCAAAAATCTGCACAGTTATCTGAATTATTGTTGCTTTGTCCTGAGCTTTTGGTAGCATCTGTATCAAGGCTGGCCATAGTGCTGGATTGCGAAGGACCCCCAAAGTTAGTATCTACAGACTTGCTCTTAGTACTGATCTCACTACTTTGGGAACTGCTATTACTGTGCCACTTTTTGCCTTTCCAAAACATTTTTTACCATCGCTTGATCCCAAAAAGATCTCGACAGAAATGAACACTATTTTACTGTCTTCAAAGATTCCACACTCAGAAGTCTGCACAGAGATTCTTTTCATTCTGAGGTGGTTAATTCTTCTCAGAGAAACAATGTACCTTGCGGCCATGGGCCCATCCCTGGGGCTGCCTGTACTTCAGGGGGAGTTAGAGAACCCCAACTGCTGGAGCCGGGGCACCTAGTCCAGTCCCTTATTCCAGTGCCAGATTTTCCTGAAATAATGTCTTCTACAGCAATTGGATGGAACTGGAGGCTATTAGCCTAAGGGAAGTAACTCAGGGATAGAAAATCAAATACCATGTGTTGTCATGAGTGGGAGCTAAGCTATGGATACACATGGTCACACAGAGTGGAATAATAGACATTGGAAACTCCAAAGGTGGAAAGGTAAAGAGGGATAAAAAATTACATATTGGGTACAATGTACAGTTCAGGTGATGGGTACACCAAAAGCCAGAAGTCACAGCTATGCAATATATCCAGTTAGCAAAACTACACTTGTATGCCCTGGAATATTGAAATATAAAGAAATATTTAAAATAAAAAAAAATTCTTATCCCACTCCTAGTTCCAACTGCTGAGCTATGACTATAATTTGCCTTTTCTAGAATTTCACATCAATGGAATTATGCTTAACTTAATGGGCATAATGCTCTGAAGAGTCACATGTGTTGTTACACAGCTAAAGTTGCTATGAACATTTGTGTACTGGTCTTTGTGTGAACGTAAATTTTCATTTCTCTTGGTAAATGCCTAGGAACTGATGTATCATTTATTCATGCATATATTTATTTATTATTCATAGAGTCCCATCAAAATATATGAGAGTTTCAACTGCGCTATATCCTTGCCAACACTTGGTAGCGTCAGTCTGCTTAGTTTTAGCCCTTCTAGTGAGTACGCAGTGGTCTTTCTCTAATGACAAATGATGCTGAATATCTTTGCATCATATGCTTACTCGCCACTCTGAGACCTTCTTTTGTGACATGATTTAACTGAAATTTTATCCTGAAAATGGCCAAATACAGGGTGGCCATCCATTTGTGTGCAATTTAAAATAGACAACTACTTTAAAATTCATGGCCACCCTGTATATGTTGAAACATTTTTAGTTTTCTCCTTTTCAACTGTCAGTCAGTATTGGCCAGAACGTTGTAACTGGTAAAGGTAATGTTATAAAAAGTACCTGACAGCCTGGAGTATGAGAAAAGCTCCTTTGATCCATTTGCAAATTCTAGTTTGTCTTGCTGCACAGATATAACCAACAGTTTATTTTCAGAAAGCAGCTGTGAATTATGATCATGCTTCTCACCCATTTTTTCTTCCTCCAAACTCCTCTTATTGAAAAAAAATACAGTATATATAGCTGCTTCATATTCTGTATCCTTCTGTCCAAAATCTGAAATGTTTTAAGGTCTTCTGCTGTTCTTCTCTGTTTCTGTTGACTGTGATTCCTATTGGCTTGTCTCTTTGTATATTCTATAGTTCTTGACTGTGAACTCATCATCATTGAGACACTTCCTGAGAAAGTATTACAAGGCATATATGAAGGTAAATTCCTCTAGGGAGGATTACTGTTTGCTGTTGCCATTGGCGTACGGCATGATGATCAGGGTCCGTTTTGAATTAAAATTTCTCTCCTGGGTTTTAAAGCCTAAACAAAAAAGTCTGCATTTAAGCCCTGGCCACTTGTGAGATTGAGTCAATGTCCTCTAAATCTTAGGAGTTTCCTCCCATTACCTTTATCTTCCACACTGTCAAGGCTGAGAATGAATTTTAATTTCTGTAAGCTTCTGTTGAGCCAGTCTCATTCCCCCTGGGCATAGCACTTTTTGCGTGGGAGATGTATCGTGGTAGCTGTCAAGCTGCTCCCCGCTCTGCTCGGGTCAGCAGTCTACCAACCCCAGTAAAAGTCTATGGACTAAGCTCAGGTTACCAGGCTTAGTAGAAATAAACGCCTCTGGTTGTCAGGTGGCTTTGAGGCTGCTTCACCAGTCCCTGGAACTGGTGTTTTTTGCTTTTTTCTGGCCTCTGGCTGTTCCCCTTACACTTTTTGTCTAGGTTTTCCCACTGATTTGATTAGAAACACACACCACACACTCACAGAAACTTTATGATATTTTGTGGTCAGAAAATTTTGCATTCTCTAGTCTGCATGTGCTGGAAACATTCTCTACACATTTGTTCATTCCTGCCTTCATACCTTGGAATGCATCCCAACTTCTTGTACAATTCATATTTACCATCTGTACTTACCCTGTGTAGGTCGTAGAACATACGAGTTAAGAGCAAAGACTTTGAAAACAAACTGCCTGTGTTGAAATCCTGTTCTACCACTCACTAGTGAAGTGACCCTGAGCTTCACTTTATAAGACTGTTGAAAGAGTTGAGTAAACCACCATATATAAAATGTTTACTGCTTTATAAAATGTTTACAAGAGCTACAGACATACTTGTCATTATTACTGTCTTTTTGTGGTCTTTGTTTTTTGTCCTTTTTCCCTAGTTTTAGTTCATCAATTATTTAGTCAACAAATACTCGTGGAGAAGCTTATTTTAGGTGTAAGGAACTGAGCTGAAAAGAATACTAAGAAATGTAAACTGTGGATTCTTTCCTCAAGGAGCTTTCAAATAACATGGGATCAACAAAAACAAATAAAAAGTAAAAAAATGTGAGTTGTTACAAGGTAGTACAATCTTAGCACATGAAAAGTATAGTTAAGAGAGCAGTATTTCACAGAATGAAGACAACACTGTATTTTACATTAAGTATATTATTAAAAATTTGAGGGCTGGAATCTCACAACCAGCTTATAGTGGGAAAAATTGATGATAGACCTTTTCTTCTTTTTCCTTATAAAAATATAAGTCCCCATCCAATGGGACACTATACATGGATAAAAAGCATGAATTTTGGAATTAAATTTGAATTTCGAAGCTGGCTAATTCACTAATTAAATGGAATTTGGGGAAGGTTCTTAACATGATGCTCAGATTCTTCATCTTTAAAACTGATGTAATTGCTGGGCGTGGTGGCTGCCACCTACAATCCAAGCACTTTGGGAGGCTTAAGGAGGGAGGGTCCCATAAAGCCAGGAGTTCAAGACCAGCTTAAATAAGGGTGAGATTCCTTCTTTACAAAAATTGGAAAAAATTAGGTGGGCATGGTTGGCAGATATCTGTAATTCCAGCTACTTGGGAGGCTGAGTCGAGGAAGTTGAGGTTGCAATGAGCTTGATGATGCCACTGCACTCTAACCCAGGCAAGAGAGCAAGACTTTGTTTCAAAACAAAACAGAAGAACTGGTGTAATAATATGTGCTTTACAGGACTATTTTAAGGATTAAATGTGACAAGAAACATAAAGTATATAATGCACATTTGGCAATTTGGCATATAGCAGGTTTTCAATCAAAGTAAATTCCCTTCTTCACCCCTTTTTTTCTACCTCAATAAAAGTTACCTCTTTTCTCATTCATAAATAGCATTTCTAGCCAGGCACAGTGAGTCACTCTTGTAATCCTAGCTCTCTGGGAGGAGAGGTAGGTGGATTGCTTGAGCTCAGGAGTTCAAGATCATCCTGAGCAAGAATTAGACCCCATCTCTACAAAAAATAGAAAAACTAGAAAAACTAGCTGGGCGTTGTGGAGGCGACTGAAGTCCCAGCTACTTGAGAGGCTGAGGCAAGAGGATTGCTTGAGCCCAAGATTCTGAAGTTGCCGTGAGCTATGATGCCACCGTACTCTACTGAGGGTGACAAAGTGAGACCCTGTCTCAAACAAGAAAAAAAAAATCCCTCCCAAAAACCAAATAGCATTTCTTTTTTAGCAAGTTTTTCATGTATTCTTAAGACATATTTTCACATTCTGTTATTTTTCTATAAATTAATAGTGTTATTTAAGACACTGGGTCTTAGGCTGACCAGCTGCCTTTATTTAAATTATTTCTATATGTCTCCTCTTGCTCCTAAATAAAGTTCCCTGAGGATAAGGATAGTGTTTTATTCATCTTCTGGCCAGTTAGTCGACCCATAATTTATGCTCAGTAGGCACTGTTGTATGAAAAGAAGTCCTTCCAGAGAACCATGACTAGTGTACTTATACAGAGTGCATGTGTGTGGAAGACGGATCCCAACCAGGACAGTCACAAAGGGACGCAGTGTGACTACTGTGAGGGGAAATGGAAAGGCAAGAAATAAAAACTGTATATTATAAATACTGCATTTAATACATAGATACATACAAACTATAAGTTTATAAACTAGAGAATGTATCACTATAATTTTTAACATGTATAAATTATAAATTCACATAGAATTATACAATATGTATATGATACATTCATGTGTATCTGTATACTGATATAATAATTCTCCCTAGAGGAGACACTGGGTAAAAATAAAGGCATAAATAAGTCATTGAAAATGTATCATGTAATCATGGTATATTCAAATATTTATAAATAAAGGCATCATTCAACTTACAGTATAACAGTATCTTCCCCTGAGGTAATACAGAAAAGGTTCTTCAGGCAAAAGCTGGATTGCTATTTCTAGATGGTCCTGAAAGAAACATACAAAGGAAAAGTCATCTCCCAAGTTTCAGATGTTGTTGGCTGAAACTACGTCAAAGGCTGATAAACTCTAAAGTGGTTGTGAAATGTTGTCTCAGTCCCCACCCCATCCCCATCATTAATACAATACAATCACTGTTATCAATAATTCAATTACCAAAAAGGATTGGTTGCCCATCAGCTCATGAATGGATTATTAAATTGTGGGGTATGTATACCATGGAATACTATTCAACATAAAAAGATGGAGACTTTGCATCTTTTGTATTTACCTGGATTTGGAAAACATTCTCCTAAGTAAATTATCTCAAGAATGGAAAAGCAAGAATCCCATGTACACAATGCTATTGTTGAAACTAGTAGATCAAGAACCACAGGACCACATGAGAGAAGAACACAATTAAATTCAAGAAGGGAGAAGGGGGAGAAGGGAAGGAGGATTGGTAAGCTCCCACCTAATAGGTCCAATGCAGGGGTATATGGTATACCTCCTGGGTGAAGGAATCAATCACCTGCAACTTGGATATTACCTTACAAACACAAAGAACGTAACCTAATTGTATGTACCGTCATATTAATCTTAAATTAAAAAAAAAAAAAAAGATTGCTTGCAACAACAACCAGAACTGTGACCATGAAAGGTTATGTATAACTTAAAGCCAAAATGTTGCAATAAAAGTAGAAAATACCAAACTCAAATATTTGTCTGCCTATGACTTGCCTAGCTGATGCTTACTGAATCCGAAGTTGAGTGTATAGATATCAAATGACATGGAATAGGGTGTAATGAAAGAAAAATAACAGAACTTGGAGGAATAGATTCCCCTGGCAGTATCAAAATGGTTATAAGGACCTGTTTAGTTGTCCCTGTAATTATTGACCCCACGGGATTATTTATTGAGCTACTATAACTGGAAGTAAATAAGAGATCATGTATATGTATGTATTAAACTGAAAAACATATCAACAGATTTGTAAGTTTAAAGACATTGCTAAAACCAACTTTTTAAAACTCATTCCCTCCTTAAGAAACAAAAATAAAAATTTCATGACCGCAATTAATGTCATTTAAAATAAAAATAAACACTATGCTTAAAATAAAGTCAAAGGTAATTTTAGAGAAAACTTTTGCACAAAATTTTTCATTTCCCTCAAACCTTCCTGGAAATACTGCCTTAGTAGAATAGTATATCTCCTGTATTACTTACTTTTCTCCACTGGGAGTATAAAATTTACGTAATTCTTTTGACTATAAATTAAGTACAATATTTGTTCAGCTTATTTACTTTAAAAATTGAGGATATGCTATTTTTCACATGTGGATTACTTATTTTGTTTACTTATCATGGTAAATTGAAGCCCTGGATTGGTCAAGTCCACATGCCAAGGTTGTTAACTACTTGGTCCCAGTCACACTTATGATGTTGGTGAACTCATGACCAAAAGGTTAATCCTCTACCTTTGAAAAAAATAATACTACTTTGTGACATCTTTCAGGATATGGAATAATAATAATCTTTAATTACTCAAGTAGTTTGATTCTTTTTGTCACAGTACTATTTAAAGAGTACCATTTCATTTCCTGTTTTAAAAATAAAACAAAGTAAGTTCCAGCTTACTTTTAAAATAATCTAATTTATTTAAAATAATCTAATTTATACCTATTAATGGAACAGATAGCTACATTTAAACTTTTTTTTTAATGATGAGAAGTACCTGGAAGAGCTGTCCATAGTTGATTTTGTTTTGTAAGCCCTCGAACTCAGATACATAGCCACACAAAACTGCATACCTAAAAAGAATGAAAACAATGGCTATTGTATACATTTTTAATCAAATATCACCAAAGCATAACATTAAAAAAAATCTGTAAGCATTTATTAATATTTAACAAAAGTATTTACATAGACCCCAGGGCTCTAACAATAATAAATACTTGACGTTGGCATGAGGCCACTTTCCTCATTTATAACTGGGATCCTAACAATACTTTACATGTATGTTGTGAGGGTAAAATGAGATAAAACAGAGAATGACGTTAGAAAACTGGCTGGCATGTATGGAGTTTGAATAAATGTCACCTGCCACTACTATCATTGGCATTATTAACATCAAAGTCAAAAAGCTCTAAGAAAGTCTAATCACATTAGTATTAAATTGAAAAAGATGTCAGCAGATTTATAAATTTAAAAAACATTATTAAAACCAATCTTTAGTGTCATTGAAAATAAAATAAATATCATGACTAAAACCAAATAAAGGTAATTTTAGAGTAAGCTTTTTCACAAAGTTCTTCATCTCTCTCAAACCTTCCTGGAAACACTGCATTACTGGAATAATGTACCACATGGATTATTTACTTTTTTCTATAGGGAATACAAAATTTACATAAATAATTATATGATTTGCTTATTTACTCTAAAAATTTCACAGAGTGTTTCTATGTAACAGTGTTCAGAGTATTTTAGTTTACTTTAGTCTGAGGCAAACTACTCATTTACCCAAATATTTCAAGAGTAGGTAGTATTTTCATTTGCATTGCCATAGTAACTGAGATGAAAATAGAATCGTGGAGGTTATTTGGATGGATTCTCTGAATAAGCATAAATTATTCATATAAAAAATGAAACTAACAATTTTCTTAATTGGAAACAATAAGACTATTTCTGGACACAAAAGATGACATAATTCATACTACCTGTACACAACCAAGAAAATGGCCACTCAGTTACAACTTTTTGATCTCTTAATTTTTAGTTTCTACATAGTCAATAGAACCTACTACATTAAGACAAACAACTACATAAACCTATTAAAAATGACCTTATAACTTAACTAAATTAGGATATACCAGCAGTTCTCAACCTGTGGGTCATGACCCATAGGAATTGTATTAAAGGGCTGCAGCATTAGGAAGGTTAAGAACCACTGGGATATACTATTCCTCACAAATTCTAAAATCAGACTGAATTTCATGTATTTCTCTACATCCAATAAAAATCTTTCCAGAGATTGTACATTTAAGAAAGGCAGATTAAGAGAAAACGACTCTAGAACTCCTTTGTGAAAACTGCCATGGGTGCCTCAGACCTCACTATGTATTTTTCTTAAAAAGTTAATAAATTTTACTTTTAAGAGCACTCTTAGGTTCATAGCAAAAATAAGCAGAACCTTTGAAAAGTTCCCCTATACCTTCTGTCCCCCGATACATACAACCTCCCCACTATCAACATCCCACACCATGGTGACACATTTATTAAAATCAATGAACCTACATGGACAAATTGTCACCCAAGTCCACAGCTTACACTGGGTTGACACTTGATAATATACATTCCAGGGGTTTTGACAAATGTATAGTGACATGTATCCACAGCTGAAGTACCTTACAAATAGTTTCACTGCTCTGAAAACCCTTGTCCTATTCATTCCTCCCTTTCCCTACCCCGATGACCAACCACTTACCCTTTTACCATTCCCATAGCTTAACATTTTTCAGAATGTCATATAAGTGAAATCACCCAGTACGCTGCCTTTTCAGACTGGTTGCCTTCACTTAGTAATATGCATTTAAGTTTCTTCCATGTCTTTTCATGATTTAACAGCTCTTTTTTTGTGTGCTGAGCAAATTCCATCATCTGGATGTACCACAGTTTATTTAACCATTCATAAGGTGACCAGATTTTAACATTGGTAAAGCGGGACACCATGGGTGGGGGGGCAGGGCCTGACAACAATGCAAACTTTGATAAGCAGTTCTGGATAATCAGTTCTCAACAGTTATTTGTTATTATTAAAGTTTAACATTATAAAATTAACAAAAATAATACAAAACTCATATCCTGGTGAAATAGCCACATGGCAGCCGAAAACCGTGTATTTCCTTCCTGTTCTCCCGTGTTCCCTTGTCGTGCATTCTTTCCAAAAATCAGGACTTTTTAAATACACCGCAGGACGCGGGACAAACTGTTAAAATTGGGACTGTCCTGCCAAAAGCGGGACGTCTGGTCACCTTACTCTGGGGGGAGGGGGGCTACTTGTTTGTTCCAGACAGTTTGGCTCCTTCTGAGCTAACTGTCCTTGCCTATAAGCAAGGGAGGGAGCCAGTCTCCTTCTGGCTTGCCCAGAAGGGGAGTAGGGACCTTGCCCAGGAGGGGTGTAGGAGTTTACATTAGCCTTTTCATTTCCAAATGAAGTTACATTAACCTTTTCAGCAGCTGAAAACAGTATTTTCCCTTCCCATTCTCCCACTGTTCCCTAGCTTGTCCTGCATTCTTTCCAAAAATCAGGACTTTTTAAAAATGCGGAGGGACGCAGGACAAATTGTTAAAAATCGGGACTGTCCCACCAAAAGTGGGATGTCTGGTCACCTTAACCATTCATCTACTGAAGGACATCTTGCTTGCTTCCAAGTTTTGGCAGTTATGAATAAATCTGCTAAAAAACGTTAGTTTGCAGAGTTTTGCATGGCCATAAGTTTTCAATTTGGGGTAGTTACCAAGGAGTGTGATTGCTGGTAAGAGTATGTTTAGTTTTGTGATAAACTGCCAAACTGTCTTCCAAAATGGATATACTATTTTATATTCTCACCAGCAAAGAATAGGCGTTCTTATTGTTCTACATCTTGTCAGTCTTTGGTGTTGCCAGTGTTTGGGATTTTGGCCCTTCTAATAGGCGTGTAGTGGTAACTGAGTATTATTGTAACTTACAGTTCCTTAATAACATACAATGTTGAGCATCTTTCCACATGCTTATTTGCCATCTGTAAACCTTCCATGGTGAGGTGTCTTGTTTGGGTCTTTTGTCCATTTTTACACTGTATCATTTGTGGTCTTACGGTTGAGCTTAAAGTTTTTAAACTTTGTATTTTATATAATAGTCCAGGTGTGTATTTTACATCTCACAGTCTGTGACTTATCTTCTCATTCTCTTTATACTGTTTTTCACAGACGTTTTTAATTTTAATGAATTCAAGTAATTTCTTTTCTTTTTTTTTTGCAGTTTTTGGCTGTGGCTGGGTTTGAACCCACCACCTCTGGCATATGGGGCCGGCGCCCTACTCCTTTGAGCCACAGGTGCCGCCCAAATTCAAGTAATTTCTTTTATGGATTGTACTTTTGGTGTTATGTCTAAAAAGTCATTGCTACATCAAGGATCATCTAAGTTTTCTCCTATCTTCTCATCCAGGAGTTTTATAATTTTGCATTTTATATTTAGGTCTATGATCCATTTTGAATTAATTTGTGTGAAGAGTATAAAGTTTAGAGTGCCGTGCTGTCATAGCTCACAACCTCAAACTCTTGGGCTCAAGTGATTCTCATGCCTCAGCCTCGCAAGTAGCTGGAACTACAGGTGCCTGCCACAATGCCTGGCTATTTTTAGAGATGAGGTCTTGCTCTCGCTCAGGCTGGTCCCAAACCCATAAGCCCAGGCAATTCACTTGCCTCAGCCTCCCAGAGTGCTGAGATTATAGGTGTGAGCCATGGACTCTGGCCTTAGATTTATTCTTTTTGCATGTGGATGTCCAGTTCCAGTATGATTTATTGAAAAGACTTTTTTTTTTTTTTGCAATTTTTGGCTGGGCCTGGGTTTGAACCCACCACCTCTGGCATATGGGGCCAGCACCCTATTCCTTTGAGCCATAGGCACTGCCCAGGACTATTTTTGTTTTACTGCATTGCCTTTGCTTTTTTGTCAAAGATCAGTGGACTATATTGATATGGGTATATTTCTGGGAACCCTATTCTATTCCAATGATCTATTCGTCTATTTTTTTTTTTTTTTTTTGCTAGTACCATACTGTCTTGATTACTATAGGTTCATAGAAGTTTTGAAGTTGAGTAGTGTCAGTCCTCCAACTTTATACTTCTTCAATATTGAGTTTGGCTTTTGCCTATGTGTGTGAACTAAGTTTGTCAAAACTCACAAAATAAGTGTTGAAATTTTGATTTAGATCGCATTTAATCTACAGATCAAGTTGGAAAAAACTAACATCTTGACAATACTGAGTCTTTCTAACCATGCACATGGACCATTTTCCATTTTTCTTTTAAGTTCTTCTTTGACTCATTCATCGGAATTTTGCAGTTTTCCCCATACGGACCTTGTAAATATTTTGTTAGCATTTTTACCTGTGTATTTCAATTCTTTTTTTTTTTTTGGTGCTAATGTAAATGGTAATATGGTTTTAATTTCAAACTCCACTTCTTCATTACTGGTATATAAGAAAGTGATTGATTTTTGTACATTAATCTTGTATACTACAACCTTGCTATAATTGTTTAATTTCAAGAATATTTTTGTTGATTCATCTTGAATTTCCTGAAAAAGGTATTTCTTTCTTTCCTTTTAATTTGCAAACCTTTTCTTTTCTTGTCTTACTGTAGTAGTTATAAATTTTAGGACAATGCTAGAAAGCAGGGATGAAAGGGGAATCTTTGCCTTATTTCTGATCTGAGTTTCTTCATGTGGGAAAGTAAGTTTCATGATAGATCCTGGTTTATAGTTTTCTTCTGTATAATGTCTTTATTTGGTTTTAGTATTAGGGTAATTCTGGCCTCCCGGAATAAGTTAGAAGTATAGCCTTTGTTTTTATTTTCTGGAAAAGATTGTAAAGTATTGGTGTAATTTCTTCTTCAAATATTTGGTAGACTTTACCAGTAAACTCATCTGGACCTGGTGCTTTCTGTTTTGGAACGTTATTAATTATTTTATTCCTTTAATACACATAGGCCTATTCAAATAATCTATTCACCTTGCTCTTTTGAAATTCTCTCAGCTATTCTGTTCCAT